ATTTGATTTGTTGATCCATGCATGCTTGTACTCTTAATTTCAACATTTGAGGTTGATGTAGACATTTGTTAACCTATCACATCCTTTTATATGATGAAGGAACAGTAAAGAAAGTATGACACTACTAAAATAATATTTTAGAGCTTACTTCGGCCGACATGTTGTGGATGTTCTCATGCCAGGATGAGTCTTGGAGAATTGGTGAGCCAAACTTGCTGGACAAGTATGCACTCCAAAACATGGCTTGTCACTAGTAATATTTGTCAAACTACTATTTGGTTTTATCTTGTATTTATCTTCATTTGGCTGGATGACAAATAAATCCGCTTTTGCTGACGATCTTGACCACATTTCAGCTAGTCTTCAATTTTGTTGAGGGCATTTAGTTCTTGGATCAACACAGATAGTTACAAGACTTTTACAAGTAAAAATCATATGTTATTCTATTCCAAGATATAATTTATATATCTGATTTCCAGCTATAGAAATATTATGAAGATGCTTCATCAGATATTAAAAAGACTTGGTATAATTATATATATATATATATATATATATATATATATATTTGATATTTAAGCTCAAGATGCCAGTAAGAAAGTCGCTTAGATTTTCTTAATTGGATGGACACTTCTCAAAGAATGAAGAATTAATTTTACAATCTACACCAATAGATTTGATGAGTGTGTTACATTCGAAACCGTATGCTTAAGGTTCGGATGTTACTATTTTAGAACTACATCCGATGAATGAGGCTCAGCGGATATACTCCCTTGTAAGGCAGTAATCAAGAATTTCATTTCTAAGTGTTTGATTGGATGCTATGTGTATTATTTACAAATCCGATTCCTCTATTTGTTAATAGTACAAATGTATATCCATGTGATAAACACTTAAAAACATGGTACTGAAACCCAAAAATTCGAATTCATAGATTCAGTGATTCATTTTGGATTCTTTTTGCCTTTACTCTTTTTGTTCTTTTCTTTTTCTAAGGCTTTTTGTTTTTATTTTGTTTTCTTGGGATTACAAAATATAATATAAATAAATACATAAGAGACAATAACAAAAACTAACTTTAAGCAAACAAATCATATCATTAAGATACAATCAAAAATGATTACAAGAAGTCATGGTTGAATTTGGGTGGTCGAAAATGAAGGTGATCTGATGTTTGATTTCTTCTGGCAACTTCTTTCGTTTGTCTTCTATCAACAAGCTCTAAACCCAACATTCTTCAAGTGTCATTTTCCCTTTTCCTTTGCCTTTTGTCAGATCTTTGCTTTGCTCCCCCTCAACTGATGATCGGATTTGCTCCTTCTTAGTAATAGAATTCTTGACTATTCTTTCTGTGTTGCTGAAGAGATGAGTTTTCTCCCCCTCAATAAAACAAAAAGAAGAGATCCTTTCATCAACTGTGGAAGGTAGTTATTGTAGGGATGAATGGATTATCTCCTGTGATTTTTCAATCCTAACTATTCTTCCCTATCTTCAAGAGTGAAGAATACCAGTTTGGAAGATGAATATGTACGGAGAAGTCTTTGAATCAATTTGTTTCGATCATCCATTTTTGAGTGAAGTTGCTCTACTGACGTGACAAGACAATGAATCAATCTGGAGGCCACTTCTTCTTGAAGTTTTTGACCGACCTCAAGTCTTTTATCAGATAGGAATTGTGCATGTTGTAAAGCGTTGAGTTGTTGTTGGATTTCAAAAAGTTGATAGGATATTGAAGGAGGTGTCGGATGAGAGGTCGAAAGTCGATCATCTGATTGATGGAGAGGAGATGTTGATAGTACTTTATGCTTTAAGACTTGTAATTAAGATTTTTGGTCTAAATGCGTATTAATATAGTATAGATATATACACATTATACAGAGTCTCATCCTTTTATTGATCAAACAATTAGTATTATCTTTGTTAATCGAGGAATTTTTGTCTTTTTTATATATTAATATCACATTTCTTAACTATCTCATTCATTTTTTGGTTTCAGTTATGATATTTAGTAAAAAAATTGGAACAACAAAAGTTCATACACGAAAAACGTTATGAACTTTAAATCAAAATCATTGTTTTACTTATGAACTTTAAATAAAAATCATTGTTTCATCTATGAACTTTTTAGTTTCATTTGTGAACTCTCTAATGAAACATAAATCAAAACCATAAATGCATCAAACCAATTTCCAAATATGAAACCTAAATGATATCCACTTATTTTAGGGATAAATAGGATTATAATTATCTTCCAAAAATACGACATAATTTGTTCCAAAATTACCTTTGATTTAATTTCATTAAATATATTTCCTATTTAATCAATTTATAATCTCTCATTTAATCACAGCCGTTGATCAAAAAAATAAACGGCTCAGATGAGTTTGTAAAGTTAACACGAATGCATTGGTTAACAAAAAAAATATGCCTATATATATACACACACACACACAGAGAGAGGGAGGATGAGATTCAGGGGAAAACCTCAAAAAATGAAAAACTGAGGAACACTCTCATAACCATTCATCTAGATTATATGCATAAGTGCATAACATGCATACATACATAAAACCAAAAAACACATTCAATTATTTGTATGCACATAAACGTACAGTCATAATAAATTTTATTGAAGTAGAAGTCGTAATTGGTATATACAACCTCGTGTTATCAACAATTACGTACATTTATTACTAAGGATATAAGAAGCAACACACGAGGTGCATATGATGGGGATAAGTGGAATGAGAGGAATCATTAAGACAACTCTTTATGTATTTATATTTTTAATGACATTTTTACATGATTTTTATTTTGTAATCATGTAAAAAGACCTTTTTACACTGTTCTAGATTTAAAAAAAACATGTAAAATATTATTTCTGTAGTAATGACACTTTGATCATATGACTAGCCGTTATGGCCTAGTCTATAGTCGTAATTTAGATAACTACTATTATTCATAAAACGACAAAGAATCAACAACGATTTTGTTCTTGATTTTTATTGGACTTATTTGATCCATTGTATGAGGGGCCGTTTACCTAAACACTTACCCGGTAAACACTTAGTGGTAAAATTCAACATTTTCGTTTACTTACCGGATAAGATTTTATTCACTAAAAAGCATCGTATGCAACAATTTATCCCGGTAAGCACTAACCATGGTAAGAGTCTTCATCTTCACTTACCGGGTAAGACTCTCGATTCTTGTCTTCGCTCTTACCGGGTAAGATTTTTAGTCATTTCCGTATTTATCCAGTAAAGTAAAATGACTTGGTAAGCGCTTACCCAGGTAAGCGTTTGGTAAACGACACCTGAGTCATTTATAAATTAATACAAATAAAGGGGAACTATTGGATTTCAAAACATACAATCCAACTTTATGAAACTAAATTTGTTGTAGTTAATACAAACAATATGACAAATTTCACGTAACAAATATTATACATTGAAAGTACAAATAAAATGTATAAAGATTTATATAACAGAAATTAAGGAAACAGATTAATGAAAAAACCTATGGATCTTCTTTTGAAGTGGTGCTCATCTTAGCTCCAATGCCTCAGACAAGGGCAATCCATCCTTTAAGCATTAGGGGAAAGGCCTCCTGTCAAAAATAAAAAAAAAATTGTTGACTAACTTAAATTTTATATTTCCAACCTCATCTGACATGGTTTCCTCCCAGTCTCATATGACCATATGCTTCCCTCCTCCAAGTCACATCCAATGTGCCCCACCTTATTAATTTCTTGGATTTGCCGGTGGGCTCGAACAAGCTATTTTGTTGTTGGTTAGAGAGATGAGGGAAGCAAAGATTGCTTGATGTTGGGTTGGTATGATGTGTAATATATATTTGTTAACCACAAAGGTGGTGCCTGATTGGTTTGAGCTTCGCTCCAAAGGTCAAAAGTATCAGGAGTACCAGGTTCAAATCAAAAGATGAATAAAAATCTCCTGGTGGCCATGGATGTTCAAATGCGGTGACTTCCGGCTATCTGCAAAGCAGGTGGTTGTCCTGGAATTAGTCGGCTCGCATAGCGGGTTGGATATCCAGGTTAATAATAATAATATATATATATATATATAGAGAGAGAGAGAGAGAGATGTTGGTTATTATACAACATTTGACATTTGTGCAACCAATACAACTCAATCTCAACCGTCCATTTCATTTGATTAATATGTGATTTCATAAAAGTTTTGATTGTTTCCTAATATAAAATATTGATCATAATTAATGAACCATATTCATCTTCCATAAATATTCAAATCATAATAAATGAACTCTCATCATTTCGATAAATATTTCAGTTTATTGGGTTGCATTGGTTGTACAAATGCAACAGATTGTATTTGAAACAAACTCTCTCTCTCTCTCTCTATATATATATATATGATATATTTCAAATGCTACCATGTCCATTTGTACAACCAATGCGACCCAATTAATTGAGATATTTATAGAAATGATGAGAGTTTATTTATTATGATTTGAATATATATATATATATATATATAGAGAGAGAGAGAGAGAGAGGGGGGTTATTATACAACCATTTACATTTGTACAACCAATACAACTCAATCTCAACCGTCCATTTCATTTGATTAATATGAGATTTTATACAAGTTTTGATTGTTTCTTAATATAAACTATTGATCATAATTAATGAACCATATTCATCTTCCATAAATATTTAAATCATAATAAATGAACTCTAATAATTTCCATAAATATCTCAATTTATTGGATTATATTGATTGTACAAATACGACGAATTGTATTTCAAACAAACTCTATATGTATATATGTCGCGTCATATTAAGGTGATAAGTTACCTACATTTAATCGACCTATACTTAACCGATCAACAAGGCAAGGACTTTAAATAAGTGAAAACTTTGGTTTAAATCTTTACATGATGCTTTTGAGAATTGAGACAAAGTTGGTTGTACAATTTTCCCATTCATAATTGGTTCCTTTGTTTTATTTAACTCATCTTTGATTTGAAGTTGGTTTCTCCTAGTTTTATTTAAATCAAGATCCTGATTTCAATTGGTTACGAAGCAATGGCATTCTCGGCGTAATTTGATTGTTAAATGACTCTCAAGCATTCGATGTCGCTCATTGGGAAAAACTGTGCCGCAACTTCTCGATTAACAGCAACAATATCAGCACGCCTGCAAGGTTTTCGATCAAATGCCGCACTGGAATCACTAACGAGAGCTGGCGAAGAACGTACCCAGAACTTAGTCCTCTATAACTACCCTTCTTTTTCCGGAGCTTTTTCAGCTCTGTTTGCTCACCTCTTTCACCGTCACCTCAATCTCCCATGCCTCATTTTGCCCTTCTCATCCGTCGAACCTCTCAGGTAACACAAACTGAACTTTAACAGGCTTGCTATTGCAAATGCACCAAACCTATGTACATTTTCTTAGTTGGGTCTGAGGGTTGAAGGTATCAACCGGTATTTTGAATGAAATTGCATCATTTTGCCGCTTTTACGATATCCAAGATTTCGCCTTTTGTTAAATGTAAACTTACGATTTTTATATGAAACGAGGTTTTGATTTGTTTGGGAGAATACCTCGTTGCTATCTTTAAAGGACCAAAATGATTGTGGGGTTGTGTAAATTAGTTCGAGTGATTGCATTTGGATTTGGGCATTGTAAGGGAACTGCTTGACTGGCTGCTTTCGTTATTTTAGCATTAAGTTTGGATTTTCATATCTGAAACAGGGTTGAAGATTTGTGTATTGATGGACTTGAGAAATGTTACTTTCTTGATTTTCTTGGCCCCAAAGGGTTTGCATCTGAGCTTTCAAGACAGACATCATGCAAGTATGTAATTAAGTTTCTTGATTTCAACTTCTTTATGTGTGACTATGAGACTATCCTTATGGGAATTGCTTGTTTTTCTGGTTGATTCTAATAATAATCAGGGTGATAGGATTCGATCACCGGAATTCCACAATGTCTGATATCCATTTGTATAAGGATTTTAACAGCAATATCACATATCAAGTCAATTTGGAGAAGAGCAGTTCCTCTGCTGTATATGACTATTTCTGTGCCAACCTATCAGAAATGAGGTGTAGTAATGTAAGTAAATCAGATGTTGTTGGTTGTTATTCTTTTTTATGCTTTTGTTCAATTACAGTTTTAATGGATATGTGTGGTTGAAGCCACAGAGATCCACTGTAGTTTATTCAGAATGTGATTGTACTAGACTCATGAATATTATCTGGTCAATTACATAGGCCGCTAGGTAATACTCCACATTTTAATACTGCATTTGGTTTGTGGATGTTGGATAGTTTTCGGCTTCGGATTAAGCTACAGCTTATGCAGAACAAATATTTTAGGAATTCTGGTATATAAATCAGTTACTTGTATGTTAGGATGTCAATTTTCACAGGAGACTTGAATTTTGAGTACCATGCTTGTATGACTTTTGTTTGCATATTCTGTTAACTAGGGCCATACTGCATGTCTATTGGATGCCGAAGACCAAGACAGAGTGAAAATGGTCCTTAAGTACATTGGGGATGGAGACCTGCGGAGGTGGACTTTGCCAAATATCAAAGAATTCAATATAGGACTGTCCAATTGGCGTTCAAAGCTGAATTGCATCACAAATCCACACTTGTTTGAACAGGTTTCATGCTGTATGGTTGAAATATTTTGAAAATTATGTGTGACTTGCTGTGATCAATTGTATTTATTTTCTATGGTTTTTCTGAACTTTAGTATATGATTGTTAACTTAATTTGGTTTAAATTGTATGAACAGTTACTGAAGATTTCGGTCATGAATTTAGTTGCACATGGTAGTGCTTACATAGCTAGTCGACAGAGTTCAGCAACTAAATTTCTGGAAAAGGTGTTTAAAGTTAGGCTGGGAAGAGGATTATACGGGGAGTGTCTGGTATGTTATTCTACTTTTTTCCTCAATCTAATATTATCTGATGCTTTATGTTAAGCTTCTAAGTTGGTACTGGACTTCTGCATCTGAGTAGCTTTTTAGTGAACATGACTATTTTTTTTACTTAATGTTGCAGATTTTAGGCTTTTAGTTTAGTGTCTTTTTTTATTATGATCAATCTTTACTCCTGTTGTCATGTTAGATTGAAATGAACCCTCTTTTTTTTTTTTTTTTCCTTTTTTGGTTGGCAACAGTAGTAAGAAATACACCACGAGACCTGCAGAAAAGAGAGTTTATCATGAACACTGCCCAGTTTTTTGATTGACACATTTGACGCGCATTGTATCTGCTTATTCAAGATGGTGAAACAATTGTGACAATCTGGTTTATTTTTCAGGGGGTTAGGATTGATGGAAATTCCAGTTTAAGTGATGAAATAGGCAAGGAACTCAGCATGAAGAGTGAAGCAGCTGGTCTGAGGTATTTCAATTTTCTATTCAAGCCTGAAACTGATAGTATGTGCTTCATATGTGAACTCCTCTTTTCCCTAAGTTCCAGGAATAGTTAAAATTGGTAATGGCGTTTGAACCTGTTATCCTAATGTTTGCAACTTCATTTTGCCATATGCAGTTTCATGGACCCGATAAATGTAATAATAAAGTAGTTTAGTACTTTGGTTCTTAATTGGTATCATATGGGATCTTTAAGGAAAGTAATGTAGCCAACGACAACTATGTTGGCTGTGGTCACTGATGTCATTTTAGCACAAAATCTTAACAATATTGACAAGATGGCTAAGGTGTTGGACTAAAATGACTCGACTTTAACATCTAGTAAAACCAAACCAAATGAGGCCAGTATATCCCAACCCCAAAGGTGGGTTAAAAAGTATGTGGTTGTTTCCATGAAAACCCCTAACTTCGACTTCAGGTATAGTTTCAAGTTTCCAAATAACATGTTAAGTTGTTGGTAGTTGAAGTAGTATATCTTGACATATGTCCATCAATAACCTCCTCAGGCCTATTGGAGCTGTTGTTTACATGCAAGGGAAAAATCTGAAAATGTGTCTGCGGAGTACAGATAGCTTTACTGATACATCGGAAATTGCAAAGGTAATGAAACTGGTTTCTCAATGACTCGCTAAATGGCATACATTGACTTGGTCAAATACATAGGTATATGGTGGAGGAGGTTCCCCTTGTTCGAGCTCATTTATAATTCGAATGGATGAGTACAACGAGTGGCTTTCTTTCTAGTACATATTCTCAGAGTACCTTACCTAAAGGTATTCCCCATCCTTTTGTGTGTATTGTTCATACGGGAAGCTCATTAGCATATAATTTCCTACAGAATATTGATCATGATGCCAGAACTTGTGTTATCCAAATCCATCTAGGTTGTTTGTACTTCATTATTACATGGGTAGGATATGATCAAGGAGCTTTTCTTATGCCATTGTTCCTGCTGCCATCATAAATAGTAATGAAATTTTGCCCTAATTTTTATTGGTACTTGTATTAGTTGTTTTGCTTGATACAGAAAGACACAGTTGATTTTAAGACAATACTGTTGATGGGGTTATTTAGCTGAATGACCTCTTTATAAATGTTTTTTAAAACCATGATTTTCTAATAGGTTCTTAGACATTCTTGTGTATAGAAGTTGCATTTTTCTGTTAGGTATTGACATTCTCAAACCTGTGGCATGTCATGGATAAAAAAAAATACTTGTTAGAAGGTCATTTAACCAAGGGCGAATGTGTACACACCCTTCAAAATTTGCCAAATTTGTTAGGTTTGTTGGGTTACTTGATGTTCACATGGAGTTCACTTAGTTTAAACAATCATTTTTTAGAACAATTTGTCAAAACAATCATTTTTCATTTTATAATCAATCATACAAAGTCTCCTAACTATTCTGCACCAAATCATTCAGTATCTACCTAACAGCTCCTAAGAGTTATGCTACAAGAGGCAAAAACATCGTAATGATATTACGAATGTAAAATCTACCTATATATATACTATATTATAAAGCATTTAAGACAAACTGTTAAAAAATACTTTTTATACGTCAAGTGCTGTTTATTGATACATATTACTTAGAATGGTTCATGAGTATAACTTTTTAAAGTTACATGTTTGAATTCATTTAACTAACTGATAAATACAAGATAAATATCTCATTTTAAATATAAATAAACTAAAATATAAATACAATATAAACATCTCATTTGAATACATATAACTAACTGATAAATACAAGATAAACATCTTATTTTAAATATAAATAAACTAAAATATAATTAGGATAATGATTGAGTTATAATATGATACTTAGTGGCTGTTCGGTTCGTTTTTTATTAAGACCTGTATGGATAAAGATGTATGTATTGATAAAGTTGTCTGTATGATAACAAATAAGTTAATGTTTGATTGTCGTGCTGAATAAACCCTCTAAATGTCAGAAATGTCCATTTTACCCTCGGTCTATATTTTTGTAGTGTTTGATAAAAATATTGATTAAATGAATTTTAATTATAAAAGTTATAAAATAAAGTTGCCTGTTGATGGTTGCCTCCCCAAACTCTCTCTCGCTCATTGATCTCTCTCTCTCTCGCCTCTCCTCTTTTCGGCTTGCCTCACCAATCTCTCTCCCTTGCCTCCCCTCTCTTCGGCTTGCCTCCCCGAACTAGCCGATTTCTCTCTCTCACCTCCCCTCTTTTCGGTTTGCCTCCCCGAACTCTCTCTAGCCGAACTCGGGGTGTAACACCCCATACTCCACATTTGCATATAACATATATTTCATATAAAAGAAATATAGATTACACCACATAGGTCCCACTAGTACAAGGATTCAATATCTACATAATTTACAACTGAAAAATTCCAAAAGAATATCCATGTACTACACATGTATATCAACATGTATTTTCAAAATATAACATGCAACATGTTGATCTTTAAAAAGGCAGATAAGACACATAAGGAAAATAATCATATTTTCCCCTTCCCCTTAATATCCCGAGACCCTGCTGCTCCTGCAATGCACATTTTTAAAATAAAATGAGGGTTAGACCAGAAGGTCTAGTGAGAAAATCCCTTCTTTGCAATTACATGGTGAAGATCACCAAATCCTGTTTAAAACATTTTTGCACATAAATAATTAAATTTCAGCAAAAAGATGCAAATCTGCTTGTTACTCAAATTATAAAACAAACAGATTCTCATTTCATATAAACATATTCCCGAAAATCTGCATCTATTAACAGAACACCAAGTTATAAGATTCCTCTCGCTTAACGGGCTAGAGCTCCTTTGTCCCTTAAGGAACAAATCTCTTCTCTTAAACTAGTCCCTCTAGTTGATCAGAGCTTCTGCTCTTACCAACCAGAGCCTCTGTACTCTCCCCAAACGTACAAGTCTAATCTCAACCAAGGACCCTTTGGACAACCAGAGGTCCAAAGCCCCTGGTCCAAAAGACCAACATTTGATTTTTAAAGAAAACAATAGTCAAATGATAACCAGAGCTCCTCTGGTTCTTTATTTTATTTATAAAAGATATTTTTAATTTAGAAAAGATTTAGTTTTTAGAAGACAGAGCTCAGCTACAGAGCTCGGATATAGAACTTCAAACGCATAATGCGAACATACCATTTCCATGATACAGAGCCTCTTTATAATATGTACAGAGCCTCTGGGTCATAAAATCACAAAAATATTTAAGAAGAATTCCACACAACCAGAGGTCCTCTGGTCCATCATAAAGACCAATCAGAGCCCCTCTGTATCTTCTCAAACTTATATAAAAATCCATTTGGAATCATAGGCAATTGATGCCTCTGGCTATAAATCGTTTTCCCCTTCTCAATAACATTAGTGTTATCAATTCAATAAGAACTGTACCTCTAAATCATCAAGTGACAAAGAAATGTTGATTTAGAATTATTGCTTCTTATTAGAGTGAGTAGGAAACCTTGTAAAGGCGAGCAGGAGAATATAGATCGGTCTGTCTTGTCTTAAACTAGCCCTACTCCATCTTGGCTATCTTGAGCTTATGAATAAGCTTTTCATTTTCTGCTTACTACTAGGGCTTCCAAAGGTGATGATAACAAGAGTTATAATATTAATCATACCCACAAACGCCACCCTTGTATCCATATGTACACCTCTCCTTGATATGTCACCCTTAGTCTCTTTTTAAGACAGGGTTTCTTTCCAGAACAGACTTATGTCACCACGTCTAGTTCCATACCAGAACAGACTTATGTCACCACGTCTGGAGGAACTATTTCTCAAAACAAAATTTCTTACCAGAACAGACTTACGTCACAACGTCTGGAAGAAACATTTAAAACATAGTTTCATGCCAGAACAAATTTACGTCACTACATCTGGAAGAAACATTTAAAACATAGTTTCATATCAGAACAAACTTATGTCACCACGTCTGGAAGAAACATTTCTCAAAACAGAGTTTCATACCAGAACAGACTTACGCCACCATGTCTGGAGGAAACATTAGTATCTTTTCCCATTTCACAAAAAGATATAGAATACCTTTTTTACAATATATAACGGTTTAAAACTGTTTAAACACATTTGTGAATTACCTCCATTTTAGAACACAAGTTTTGGCAATAGACCCCTTCATCGATCAACTCTTATCTGGACAACACTGTCCGGACAATACTTAAAAGTTAAAATCATAAAACTCAACTATTTTGGGCGATGAATATCTATCAAGACAACACTTAATCGGGTGCACCCTCATCGGACAACATAGTGTTCGGATATAGTTCTCACCGGTCAACACTTAACCACTAGAAACATTATACAACACAATGAGCGATAGTAATAAACCGGGCAACACTATGTCTGGTGAAGAGTCCTTATCGGACAAGGCTATGTCCGATAAGACCTCATCGGTCAACACAGAAATCACCAAAGCTTAGCCGGTAAGGACCCTCGTCGGACATCACTTGTCCGATTACAAGTTCTTACCGGTCATTGAAGATCATCAAGAACAGATACAGTATTCAAAGTGCATACATTATCATTTCAAAGCTTATAAAACTAGTAATCAAAATAGATTCAAGGCTATTTTTAATAAAGTAAAACTCACCTTTGCAAGCAAAGAGTTTTGAAGAAGAAAACAGCAGATCAAATCGGCATCTAGTTTGATCCCCAAAAATCCAGTTTCCAAATATAGCAGAAATCCCCACGATTTCACTTACTGTATCAACTTCCCAAAAATGGCAAGGAAGAGCTTGCCTTTCAAAAATTTCCCTATTTATACCTTCCTTAAGAGGAAGGCGGTCTTGTAAAAGAATTATGAAATAACTACATACATGTATAATTTTATGCACGCATATTCATAAAACATGCACACATTTCCATACATGTAATATCCACTTACATACTCATAAATATATGCATGAAATATACACACACTTACATATTAATCTCATATAAGCATGTATTCACATGATTAATTATAGCAATTAATCAGATATTCGCATGATCATATAATCAGGTAATCACATAACCATTACCTCAAGCGCATAACAAAGACCCGGTTATCACACCGGGGTTGTTCGGTAACGGCTTATTAAGCCATATAACATATATGGCTGATTCGCAGAGCCATACCTTTGTGTTCGGTAAGAGCTTAATCGGTCATATAGGGGTTGATACGCTCAGCTAAAATACCATACTCCTATCCATCTCGGCCATTACTTTTCCCCAACTACCCTGCTCTCCAAACACGCTGACCATCGTTCTCCACACAGCTTCAATTGCTCGTTGAATCCTCCGTCTCACACAGCTTCGATTGAGAGAGGGAGTTTGGTTAGAGAGAGTTCGGGGAGGCAAGCCGAAGAGAGGGGAGGCAAGGGAGACAGAGTTCGGGAAGGCAACCATCAACAGACAACTTTATTTTATAACTTTTATAATTGTATAATTAAAATTCATTTACTTAGTATTTTTATTAAACACTATAAAAATATAGATTGGGGGTAAAATGGTCATTTCTAACATTCAGACGGTTTATTCAGCACGATAACCGAACAATAAAACTTATCTGTTATCATACAGACAACTTTATCAATACAGACATCTTTATCCATACAGGTCTAAAAAGGAACCAAACAACCCTTCCCTCTCTATCGAAGATGTGTGAGCAGGAGCAATCAAAGTTGTGTGAGATGAAGGATTCAATGAGTGATCGAAGTTGTGTGGAGAACGATGGTCGGTATGTTTGGGGGAGAGGGATGGTTGGGAAAAAGTAATGGCTGAGTGGATAGGAGTGTGGTATTTTAGCTGAGGGAATCAGCCCCTACAAAGGTATGGTTGTGTAAATCATCCATATTTGTTATATGGCTC